AAGAAGCTACACGCCATGTCGAGAGACCAAGCGCTTCTGGGTGCTTTTAGATCGTTGAACGTGTACGAGACCTGGGCCCTGGTCTACAGGTCTAGTTGTTGGACACGCGGGTAGGGGTTGTGGAAGCCATTCTTACCTGTGTTACTAACTTTCAAATCCGGCTACAATTGGCTGATTTATAATAGTCAATAATTCTCTTAGTTTTGAAGTTTTTTTCCCTGAAAGGGGCACAGTTCAGTTCGAGTTCAGTGTCAAAATTGAGATTTAGTAAGCTAGGCTTCAAAAAATGACAATAATACTCTCAATCAGCATGTTGACATACGCCTTGCTCCAATTGCTAGCAGCTTGACAGAAATAGAAAAAAATCAATAAATCAATAAGGAGCAGATGTCGTGTTGTAGTATTCGTAAACAGCATTTCAAAAAACCAGCATGCTTAAATTTCGGTACTTCTAAGCGAAAAGTGCAAAAAATCAATAGACCAATAAAATCAATAGATAGATCTTTAAATGGTTATCAAATTCCCAATCAGCATATTTGCTTACCCCAGTACATCAGTTCACCGCCTTTTGGAGAAAATCATCCAGAGCGCAACAACGCAAAAAAAAGATCGATATGTTGATTTCATCAATATATTAATTTTTTTTGCATTTTTCTGCTCAAAATGCATCAACCGAATTTATTTTTCTGGGTAAAATAGCCTAGGTTACCCGTGATGTGCTAGCATGTGTGCAAAGCTTGCTGTGGATTGGCTCGGAAACAAAGTTTGTTTCATCAATATATTAATTTTTTTGCATTTTTCTGCTCAAAATGCATCAACCGAATTTATTTTTCCGGGTAAAATAGCCTAGGTTACCCGTGATGTGCTAGCATGTGTGCAAAGCTTGCTGTGGATTGGCTCGGAAACAAAGTTTGTGTTCGGAACAAGCACACATACACATACATATACACATACAAATACACACAAACAAACACATTGTGCTGTACCTAGAGGGCTGGTGCATGTATAAGAAAGTATAAATATGGGCGCATGATGTTCGGGTCCTATGGAAGGATTAAAGACAGCCGCAAGAGGACTCTTATAGACTATGTACAAGGCGGAGCAGTTCCTCAAATGAGGATGGTTTAAACTTCCCAATCATGTGGAGCTAAGCATTTGTACCGGATATCGCAGTAACTGATTATGTGCTCTGCCGA